TACCTCATCAAAGTATATTCTGTGCATATGTGGAGGATGCTTTCTTGTCTTGGGGGTTGCTGCTGGTGTGGCATCGTGGCCAGTCACGGGCTGTTTCGCTGGCATAATTCCTTTGATATTGTTTATGTTGGCTGGCTCTGTTGCTGGGCATTTTTTTCTGAAGCGCTTTGCGCAGCACATCACGCAGCGGCATTACTTCGTGAACACTGGCTCCAGTGTGAGCCCGAAGGGCAGTGAATCCTCGGACACGTTGCAGTGACGACGCTTGGCCTCCAAGAGGTAATAGTACTGTCAGATACCGTGCTTCCCCACGGTAGTGTGCAAAGTCGTACCAACAGGCCAAAGGTCTCTTGGAACAGCGACGCAAACTGTTACGAAGATCGCAGCACCGTTGAGATGACATTTGCTGTCCTGTGACCTCAGTCCTACCCTTTTCAGACAGAAGGCTTTGGACATGTTGCTGGGTGCCCGCTACCCACTGTACTTCGAAGAGCAGATTTTTCAACTTGCTTTGGCTGCCTCGCAAAGCGAGCTTGCTGAAAGCGTCCTTCCCGATGTGTTTAGGACCGGCTGCTGACAGTCTAGTCGAGACGTATGTGCTGAAGCACTGCATCTGTTCAGTTTGAAGAAAGGCAGAGATTGCAAGAAGCAGGCCGGTCATTTAGTGCAACCGCCTTAATGGCCGCTGTGCTGTTGAATCTGCAGTTCTGGAAAGGTAGATGGAAGCTGACGGCCTCTCATGACTGGGCATAACAGTTGCAGAGGGCAGCGGAAAGCAAAATGCGAAAGTGGAGCCCGAGCAACACCAGCGTAGAACGAACGAGTGTGGTTGCATCACAACATCGCGCCGCTGCATGATGTCCTCATACCTTCTGGCTCTAGCTTTAGCACAGCTCGTTATCTGTCTAAGCTAACAGCTATCCATGACCGTAAGACTTGAAGAGAACAACTTGCGGAGGCTTCATTGTTCCGTGGGCTTGTCTTTCGCTGGCCTTGTTCATAATTACAGGTGGTCGCGACATCCGAATAGCCCGTCTTCAGGAATCGTGTTGCGGCCAGCATACCCGGACCGCCTCTAAACCATTGTTCCAATGCAGCTGCGAGATACCATCGCCGAAGCAACGGCACATGCCCCTTGACCTGCGCCGGAAGATCTGTCAGCAAAACCAGCACTGTACTGCAGCATGTCGCCGTATGGTTTTCAGGTCAACATCTCGGACACGATCCCGAGGCCAAGCTGACTAAGAACCTGGGCCCTTTGGAAGGGACATACTGCAGAGTCGTAGAAGAATGTAGATTTGATTCATCTCCTGCACACGCAGTGCTTCCTATCCCTGTAGCTAGCCATCTTATTTCAACTTATATATTTCCATGCACCCGTTGAGTGTGCGTGCTTTACTATCTCTCCTCGGTGTAACGCTGACCGCAGTTCCCGGAGACGCACGCCAACGTCCCGAGCAGGCAGCCCGCTGGGCAACAAGCGGACAGGGCAGGAAGATACAGACAGGCGATCGAAACAGTCGAAGCGCAGCTGCAGCACTCAGCACGGCGTGACAGTGTCTGATCACGGAGAGAAAGTCACTTGGTCCGGCTGCCTGCATGCGCTCAGTTGTTGACTTCAGCCTCAACGCGTATCGGAAGCTGTTGTCGTTCGCATGCCTTAAGTGTTCATTTGCTTAAATTTTAAACCAATTTGGCCAGAGGTTATTGGGAAGAGCGCCAACGCAAGTTGGAATCCCAAGCCGTTGACGACGTCTTGTTTGGCACCCTCTCTTCACGAATTGCTCGGGAAAGTCCAGAAGCAGAACACACTTCCAGTGCTCAAATTTTCAAGCATTGCTGCATTTACTTCGATGGTCGCGTTGATATTGGAGGCTGGCAGGCATACTTGAGAAGCAAGTTGCACACATGCCTCTCATATTCGCGACCTTAGCGGCAACACAATGTATGAATGTGTGTGTGTGTGTGTGTCTCTGGCTCTGTCTCTGTGTGTGTGTGTCTCTCTCTCTCTCTCTCTCTGTCTGTCTGTGTGTGTGTGTGTGTTTTTGTTGGTGTTGGTTCACCGTGCGTCCTGACAGCACCAGGTGGCATATCTGCATACGCCCTCAGCAAGGTGGCTCGTTTACACGGTGCAACGGTTACTCCAAGGCTGGCCAAGCGAAGCGTGACGCATGTAGTTTGCACCCAGCTCAGTGGTGCAAAAGAGAGGAAGGCCTTGCGGGATGCCAGCTCAGCCCATGCTGTAGCCCAATATGTGGTCCAGCCATCTTGGATAACGGAATCTGTCGCTGCGGGAAGGAGACTTCAAGAACGGCAGTTTTCGCTCATGATGAAGATTTCACGCCGGTTTGGTCTGAACACTTTGGGAAGTGGTCATGGAGGAGGCTCTGGCCATCAACATGCAACCGTTCGAAAGGAGCAGCAGCATATGCAAGATTCCCCATTCCAACTCCAAGCTAGTGCAAAGAAGGATGGCACGGCCACCGCAGCCACCTTTCCAGACAACCGTGACGGTCGTGACCCTCAGCTTGTTCTGATCTCTGACAGCCCTCCAGCCAGCCTTCCGAGCCCTCAGCGAGCTGGAGACTATTTCAGTCCCTCGAAATCTCCGGAAAATCCCGAGATGCCTCCCACGGCTCTTGACAGTGAGGACGAAACAGAGCTGGACAGTGATGCTGAGCAATAATTCATGTCTGAAACAATTCACTGCAGTGCCTTGTCACACAAGGTCTGAGCATGTCTCATGGATCAGCACACATCTCCAGGGCAAAAAGAGGCGAGCGTTCTTTTTCTGGTTTCGAGGTGCATGATGGAAGTGTCCACACTGTGCTCTGCACGTCCTCGTCACTCGTTGCTTTTGTTCCGCATTTGCGGGCCACTGCAAATGCATTAAACTATAAGTGCATTCAAAACCTATTCAGGATATTCAACGCGGTTAAAGAGCCATGCGCAGGGGCGCTGACACTTTCCAACATCTTCTCGTCGTTTCGAAACATTCATCGGGGACGATGCACGTCCTGATGTGAAGCGCCTGTGCAGGAAGCATACAAAGACATGGCGGGATAGATGAGGCGGCGGCAAACTTACTTTCCCTTGGGGCAATTGGAGCAGACGCTGCCCTTCCCTGCCATGGCCCTTATCGGTGAGGTGAGACTTGCATGAAATGAAATGTTGGTAACATGATGCATTGACGTACCGTTTATGTTGAAGATCCAGAGTCTGCCCTCCTGAAACCCTGAAGCAACCTCGCTTGTGGGAATAGATCCTCAGCCATGCGAGAGGGAAAAAGAAGATCCAGGGGTTTTCTCTGCGAGAAAGGCCCTGACCTCTGGCATTATTTCACACGGTTGTACATTAGCGCCGCTATTGTTCATCATGATGATGACTGTCCTCACTCGACATCTTCAGATCCCAATTTGTTGTGCAGTCTGAGTTGTCCGTGTCTTTCTGCAGCCGAACGCGGACGATTGAACGCCTTTCAAAACTGCTGCCTGCGCCAAATTCTTCGTATCCCGCCTCCGTTGTTTGGCATCGTTCGGTGCGCCGATCCTTGCTTGTCCAGGCGCCGGCTGGCGAATATGACCCGTATGACCCGACAGACTGACAGAGCCTGCTCGCATGAACAGTATCAAATCCGACGACGACAACAACAACAGCTACAACCACTACTACTACTACTACTACTACTACTACTACTAAGAACTACTAGTGTACTCCCGCGGCCAAAATGGCCGCTGACCTGCCGGGCCGACATCCACCGGATTAGAAATCCGCCGCGCTTTTGCTCTCCATGCCTCCGGCCCTCACATAAAGACCATCCTGCTGAAGCTGTGACGCTTTCACCTGCCGAGTCCCGTCGGCACGGAAGGGCGGTCTGACCTCTGCCTGGGATGAATTTCTTTCAAAGCTTCGCGAGCTTTAAGCGTGCAGCATCGGCTGCACTACGCGTGCTCCAAAGCACCTGGCATCATGCGACACACCTTTCGGACTCAATCAAGCCTGGGCAAGCCATTGTTCAAACAGCCGGTGTGCTGGAGATGGGCTGGCGAGCCTGCAGCACGCACGATGACTGCGGCCATCCACGCCCGTGTTGCAAAATCTAGTGGAATCATCCACTGTTGCAGGAGCTGAGCACTACTAGTTTAGCTTCAGCTGCCGCTCGTTCACGAGACTTGTCATTCAAACCGGTTTGACAGGCCCTAGACACGGTGCCGGGGCAAAGGGCAGGGGCTCGAGTGGGACCTAGGACCCCGTTGATTTTTACCGAGAGCGGGTTTTGTCAGTGTGCACATAATGTAGCCTTTAAGATGTCTTGCTTCATTTCTCAACGAGAAACTGCAGCAGCACAGAGCTAGCGTCTTGAGATTCGCAACACCCTATCTTAGCACGACGGCTCGGGCGCCAAGAAATGCCAACAATATGACTATGCCAGTCATCATCTTTCCCCATCGTCAACAAGCCTGTGTTCCAGAACGCACCTAAATAAGAAAACAAGACTCTGGCATTTTCTTATTTTCCTTTGTTCCAGAACGCACCTAAATTAGAAAACGAGACTCTGGCATTTGCATATTTTGTGTTTGTTTTGGAACCCAACTAAAGCATACGAGGAGCCGGGCGATCCCTGAAAGCCCTTGCACAGCACAGGCCATACGCACACTTGTAGTATGCAGAGCGAAATAAGAAAATGAGACTCTTGGACGAGGGTACCCTGGTTTTCTTATTTTAAGAGCGGTTGGTATTTTAAGGAGAACCCCCTCAATCCCCAAATCCACAGTCTCATTTTCTTAACCCAATGTTTTCTTAAGTAGTGCTGTCGCTGTAGACATGACTCTCCCCATCAACACTGTTCATTCTCTCAAGAACCCACAACAGTGATCGGCACACGATCTTGCAAAAGACAGATGAGCCACCATGGTCCCAATGCTATCGAGGCAATCATCACAACATGACAGCCTGGCATTTCCTCCTGCGCCATCTAGCGGATTGCTTCGCTTTGTCTCATGGCGGCTCCTGTTCTGCGTGGTCTCGAAAGTAAGCCAAAGCTGAACGGACGGACTGTCAAGCTGGCCAGCATCTCAGAGGAGAGCGAGAACATGTCAGTGCAGTGCTGCTGCCAGCCCAAGGTGGAGTATCACCAGGATCGAGGCCGATGGGAAGTTGAGCTTGACGGAGAATTGCCCCCGACTGAATTGTTCCAGATCGAAAACTGGCTGGCAACAGAACCACTTTCCTTTTACTTGTCTGCTGTTGCTTTACGCTTTCGTGCTGCTGAGCAAAAAGCGTAGCTAAGTCTTTGAAAAGCATCCATCAGCTGGGTCAGTGACGCTGTGCAAAACTCACTCATTGGTGTGTGAAGCGAAACCTCCAAGGACTGGAATGACGACTGGTGGGAGCCCTGCGACGGCGAGAGTGAGTCTTTCAAGACCCTGTGCAGCCAAAAAGGAGGGGTAGAGCGAAACAAGCCTGTCAACAGATCGCAGTTTGTATTCTCAGCCACTCCGATGCGCGTGGACATCAGAAATTTGAAGGACCGACCGCGACCTTCAAAGAAGAGCTGGATGGAAAGCTGCGGAAGCTGAAGCTTTTGGAGTCAACGGCAAAAATCTCGGCCGCCTGTCTGGGACTTTCTGGCACAGCAAGCTTCCACCATCTGCCGACTGCAGCCTATCAATCAGATGTTTTGCCCTTGCAAGGCCGTAGACTGCAACGGCAGGAACGTTTGCGTCTTCAATTCTGATGGAAGCGTCCTGCAAGAGCTACAGAAGAAACACATTCCTCGCAAAGTTGACACGCCGAATGCGACTTTGGTGCATTCCATATTTGGGACCTTGCCCGGGGTGGTGGAGTTTCATGATTTTGGCACTGAGCTCGTGCCTGATCCGTGCAAATCTCAGGAAGTTTGCCAAAGGAGTTTCCCTTTGCACTTCCAAAGAAAGGCGGTGGAAGGAAAGACCTTGGCCATCAGGCCATCTTCCTTGAATGTGCGAGAGGATCGGTGCCCGGGATGCTACTGGCAGCAGGCTCTCTTTTGGCTAATGATCCGTATGGTTGCAAGCTTTCATGTTGTCGAAGTTGAGTTGGCATCCGATGTCCTGAGCAAGCCTCTAGACCCTAAGCTTCGCAGCAAAACTTCCAGCGTTCCAGGACGACAGTGCAAGCAGATTGAGACAGAAGAAGGCGCCAAGCCGTGCATCTGTACACTGCAGCACGCTTCAGTCTAGAGGTTCTGACAGCACCGGTGCACCGAGTGCCCGTATGATGCCGCATTCATGCTGAGACGTGAGAGGTTGAGATGTGCGTCGGGATCCTTCATCGAAAACCGGAGCTGGACGGGCAAGTTGGGTTGCTGGGGCCTTTCCAAGCGCGCCTCGACGTTGTGAGTTGGCAGGAATGTTGAACAAGCCCTTCATTCCCCGCTTCCTGCAATTGATGGGAACCCACATGTCGAGGCACACGAACCGCTGGGAAGTACTGCCGGATGCACGCGGTCTTTGGGACGTCAAGGTGCCTTTTTGTCGATGTGGCGTGTTGCCGTCGGGCAATGAATGAGTTAAGCGCAAATTGAACCGTGCTTCCAAGGTGGATGGCTCGGCAACGGCTGTGCAACTGTCATCCAGTGAAATTCGTGATGAGGTGAGCTTGGGCTTAGGATGACTTAATGTCTCTGGACAGCCATGGGTGCAACTCCGATGTCATGAGCATCGAGAGGCCTCTGGTGATGGGATCGCAGATCCGATTCGTGTGGGCATGTGGCCAGAACATGACCAAGAACGGGCTCTGTATGCCAATGTTTCTAAGACGAAATTAGCCGCACTGGGCATGTTGTCGCCGCTTGTGCTGTGTAGCCAATGACATCCCCGACACTAGTAAGGTAGCATTTCGGCAGGGCCAAATAATCATGGAGGAGGAGCCAGCTCTTGTCGGAAACACTGCCGAAATAGTGAAGTTGACACCTGGCCTGCACGAATTGGACGCAATACGAAAGGTCGGGGAGTTCAGCTTTCAATGAGAGCCTCCTAAACCGGAGTTGTACCTAGCCGCCGGCAGTTTTCAGCGTCCGCTGCTGCAAGCAGTGGAATGTGTAAGGATGCAGCAGTCCAAGAAGCTTTCACCGGAACAACGTGAGCAGCTCAGTCAGCTGAGCCAGGCAAGGATAGGACTTGATACCGATGTGTAGAAGAATCGATGGTCTGGCATTGAATGGCAGGGGGCAGACTTCGTGCGAAGTGGTCGCTCTGCCGGAAGTAGGACCAGCTGCAGATCCAGATGAAGTCGCTTCCAGGGATTGGCCAGCCAGACTAGTGACTAGTCAAGGCCGTGACGGGAACGAGAAAGTCACGGAAGCGGACTTCCTGACAGTGTTCAATGGCGACGGCGTTTTGGCTGGAAGTTGCGGTTGCCCGTCGAGCAGAATCCGCGGTTGCAGGCAGCAGACGTCTAATGCTTCAGAGATTCAGACAGCCAAGGGAGCGAGGATTCCAGAAGCTCGGCTGACAAAGGCTGTACGTACGGTGGTCCGTGTTTTGAGATTCTGATTTTGCATCATCCGTAACTTGTCGTGTCTCCTTCTCCGACTTGTTAAGATTCCTTTCGCAAGCCCCCCTCCGGTATGTACGCAGACTGGGATTGCCTTGAAGCGGCTAAGTCGGTGCTTTGAAGAGGATTGCCTCCGCACGCAAGGCCCTTACCGCTACCTTAGGCATGCGGCGAGATCTACCGAAAAGAGGCGTAGCGCCAATAAAAAGATTGCCAGCTGCTACAGGATCAGCGGCAAAGCACGGGTTGTGGCTGTCCTGAGTATCCCTTCCATTATCCCTTCCTTTACCTCTGCTAGAGGACCTTGGCGTGCCAAGGTGGGAACCCTCGACATTCAAAACGAGAGTGGAGAGAACCAAAGGGCATGCCCCGCAACTGCAAGGCTACGAGAACGGCAGAAAGCTTTGAATGGGGTGTCCAATGCCCAAGACTAAAGAGGAGTGAGGTTTGAGACTTTGAGACGCAGAAAACGTCATGGAAGACTGAGCATGCCCGCAAAGGACAAATCCGGCAAAGGTGCCAAAGAGACTCGAGAAATAGGTTGACCCCAGAGACAACCTGGCTGCGTCGAAACGCCAGGCTTGTTGAAGTCCCTGTTCTCATTCATGAGGACATCTGCCTCTTCAAGTCGACAGGTCGTGCCGTGCTCTTTGGTTTCGGAAAGCCTTCGGAGGACTTTCGTCACGAATTCCTTCTGGCACCACCGAGCCGGAGCGAGAGGGCTATATCTGCAGCTCGCAAGAGTGAATCACTCATGCAGGCCGGCCAGCTTTCAGCCTTTCTAAGCCAGGAGTCATAATGCTCATGGCATTCTGCCTCGGCCTTGCAATATGCAGGCCAAATGCCATAGTAGGCGAGCCGAAAGCTGTGTCTCAGCCGCAAGTAGCGCAAAGTTGCTTCAGCGGCTGGGTGGGTTTCAATTCCCACAAAATGAGGGGTGGCTGAAAGCAAAAGCACTTCCGTTGCTGAGGAGTTCGATGCAAAGAGGTTGCCGAATGGCATCAAGCCAGCAGACCCCCTCAAGAAGGCCGCCGCCGTCCATCACTGGCATGTCATTGCAAACACGGCGAATAGTTCGTTGCGAAAGCATGCAGGCTCTCATTGCTATTCGCGACATTCAACAAGGCGCACTGCTAGGTGCGCGCCAGTATCTGGTGCATCAAGCCATCCCACCCAGGTGAAGAAATCACCATCAGCTATCTAGGTGACACGGCAGCAGCACCCACAAACTTGCAAAGGTTGCCGTGGGACTCGTTGCCCACCGTGCGGTCCTTTCTTAAACCTGCGGCTCGAGGCGACGATGAACTTCTGCAGCCATCCCACATTCGTCGCGAGATGCTTGAATCCAGCGCCTGGTCCTGTTCCAGTCTCCTTGCTCGGGTCTTGGAGCCTGGCTTGCAAAGGCTATGGATTCAACTGCACTTGTCATCGCTGCATCGACGAGGCTCGCTGTCGTTGCAGAGTTGCACATTCGAGCACAGCATCTCGCAGTTTGTTGCAGCTGCCAGTCCATTTGCTCGCAAGATCTATGGCATTCGCCAGCTGCCAGGACGATGATGGACTGCTACGCACCTTTCGATGTGCCAACTGCGGCGGCGGGATGCATGCTGGAACACGTTCAGGCCCGGGGTGAGTAGAGTACATGTGTCTGCATGCCTGCCATTTTCCATCTCCGCGGCCTCCTCCTGTGCATGGATGTATGCACTTGTTTGGCTTCCAACGCTGGGCGGACATCACGAGCCGGAGTATTTCTCAAAGAACGGCAGGCTTATACGAGGCGGTCTCACAAGACACTCGCAAAATTTCCTCGAACATGGAGTGCTAAGGATTTTTCTATACTTTTTTCTGATGCGGCCTGGGCCCCTCAACTTCTGGAAGGTTCGAGGCATATGGCGAGCACGCGCAGACTCGGAAGCGTTAGCGAAGTGATCGAGCTAGAGCTGCTGGCATCTTGCAGCTGTGCCGTTTTCCGTTGTGGCAGAAGAAGCATATCCGTCCCAGGGGAGCAGTGTAGCAAGATTGTCAGCATGATAACATCGGATTTGCTCACGCTGCCCTCCTTTGTTGTTGTGTTAATGAATTTGCCAGCTGCCCGGATGCACATGATTGCAAGTCGCCTGCCGCAGCTATGGGAGTCCAAGAGATTTAGTTCCTGAACGCTCGGATTCTCTGTCGAAGCCGAGCCATGAGATGGCGAATGCTTTGGCTTTGGGTGCATCTTGCTCTTGTAGCGGGTGAAAGTGAAGGTCCAAAGCGTTTTCCGTCAGTGTCGCCGGATCTTTGGAGTGTGGGCCTTGACCACGACAGCGGAATGTCACTGCGTAGGGGCCGCACAGGAGTGCTGTTGTGAACCAGGTGTTGTAAGCTTGCTTTTTACGGGCTCGTGAACAGCTTTCGTAAGCCAACTTTCTTCCAGGAGACGCAGTGGCATGGGGCAGCTTCCAGGATGCAATCAATTCCACAGGATGGGCAGTCCTTGATGTGCATACAACGTCCCGGGCAAACGGGAACACGCAAAGCTATGCTGCGGGATACCTGGAAGGTGCACTGACTCACACCCGCATCACGCAACACTTGCAGAATATGTGGGGTGTGGACTTCAAAGGCTATGCAACAGGCACAGTCCCTCAGAAAGTTCGGGATTTCGTGTCGGCAAACATGGAATGGATGGTAAACCAGGTGAAAGACAATCCTTCCGATAACTATTGGGTTACAGTCGGCTACTTGCTGGCACAACTCCACGGTCTTGCTGATGGATATGAGGCTGCACGAGACCATCAGCAAGGTGAGCTGCCATTGACGGTCGAAGACATGCTTATGCTCGTTATGGTGGACACCGACATGGATGACGTTGTCACGGCGGTTGTGGCCGAGGGTCATTTCATCAACGAGCACTTCCTGCACCGACGCCACAAGCGTCGGCACAGGATGTTTGATCCATTCCCGGAGTTTTTTGAAGTCAGTAGAAGGCATCATGGGCACTGCAGTGCACTGGTGCAGGTAGCACCGAACTTCGAAGACTTGTGGGTCTCCCATGCAACATGGGACGAGTACCGGGGCATGCTCCGAATCATCAAGTACTTCGATATGCCACTGCCTGGCACGGCAGTGCAGCGCATGGCCTTCACAGCAGATCCAGGCGGATTGTACAGTGCCGATGACTTCTATGTGCTGGATTCTCAACTGGTCGTTATGGAAACAACCATCGACAACTATAACAGGTCGTTGTGGTCAAATGTGAAGCCGGAGACTCTGATGACCTGGGCAAGGACAATGGTAGCCAATCGTCTTTCGACGAATGGTGCTGAGTGGACCACATATCAAGTTCGAGATAACAGCGGCACCTGCAACAACCAGTGGATGGTTGTCGATTACAAGCGCTTCGTACCTGGTAGTGAATTGAAAGATGGAGTGCTGTGGATCTCGGAGACAATGCCTGGGCACTCGCAGACGGGCGATGTGACCCATGTTCTGCGAAACCAACATTCGTGGCCGAGTTACAACATACCTTTCTTCACGCACATTTGGAAGGTTGGCGGTTATGAACACTTGCAGGCCAAGAGTGGCTCGGATGACTTCAGTTTCGAGCAGTGCCCACGCGCTAAAATGTTTGAGCGGGCCCGCAAGCAGGGCTTCGGGAACTCTCTGGAGTCATTGATGGCTCTGATCAGATACAATCGCTTGGGTGATCCGTTGGCACTTGGGGATGCCTGCAATGCGATCAGCGCAAGATGTGACCTCAATCCGCAGAAGCACGTGAGCTACGACTGTTTCGGGGCGATTGATGCAAAAGTCGCAAGCTGGAGATCGAACAGACACGACCTTTCCTTCCTGGCAGCCCCTTGTCGTTGCAATGGCCGGTTTCGCGAGGTGTCTTAGCTTGCTTGTACACACTGGGTCGATAAGACTGAGGTTTCCTCACCAACACGCAGCCATGGTGAGCAACCGTTCGCTTGGAGCAGGGTGAACGACAAGCTCGACGGCTGCAAGCCTGAGAACCACATCGGGCACCCAGATACTTTCGACTTCGATTGGTATAAGATGCCTGCGAGCTGGCCTTCAACAGAGACTCCCAGTCTTCTAGCAGTTTCTGAGCACGGGACACGGCTCCAGCTGGAACAGACAGCAGCCGTCATGTTCAGCAGCCTAGCCTGCCTGTTGCTCTTTGTATGCATGGTTCGAACAGTATGTCGGCAGACAGATGGTGGCCTTCCAGCCTCTCTTTATGAGCCGCTGGACGCTTGATCTTCCTTGCCAAGTGCAGCTCTGACAATGGTGTTCGGGATGAGCCATGTCAATGTAAACTTGGCGACAGTCCTGCACGAAACCCATTGCAGCCTGAGGCTACCACGACATTGAAGCGACAAAACGTCGCAATTCGCCCTTGCACAGGCCAGGTGGGGCCGAGGCTGGAACAAAGGCGGTCCGCCTCGGCCCTGAGCCTGGCTGCATTCAAGCTGAATGCGAGGCCCTGAGCCCCCCCAACTCTGATCAATGCCTGCGCATTGACCAGGGGCACGGACCTTAAGACTATGACGTGCTTCGCAAAAGACAGGCGCTAGAGAGCTTGATTGATCACTGTATATCACTGTCATTCCGACTCGCAGCCCAGCCCAGAACTTTCTTGATCGAACTGCCTCTTGCATGGCATTGTGCAGGCCTTGCACCATGCAACGCTTGTGGATCGCCTGCTGCGGAAGACGAGAAGCTGGTAGCAGCCGAGCAAGAACAGGAAGCGTGGCTAAAAGCAACAGTGAGTACCCCCGGTTGGAGACAGATGTTGACTGCCCGGTGTTCCCGTTGCAAGTTGCTTTCGAAGGAACGCATCTTTGCCGACCACTGCAAGTGGCTTCACGAAAGTTTACTCTTTGTTGCCAAAGTGTGCAAGTGTCTATTGCAGAAGACTGTGCAGACTAGATGCGTGCACTGTCGTGACGATCGCGACACCTTGCTAAGGATGATCTCCGAAAAACGGAAAGATCCAAAGTTGCTGGTCGACATGGCCAAGATATGCGCTGAAATTGGGTTGGCCCCTAACCACTGGTTGCTTTGCAAGGCACAAATCGAGTTTGGCACTTGCTGGCCTGATACCATAGAAGCCAAACCGCCAGCTTTGCTTGTTCAGGTGCATCACATGCAGGCCTGCTTCTTCGCCCAGGCTGGTGAGGCTTCCCGAGCTGTCGAAACTCGGTCGTGCAGATATGGTCAGGCAGGCATAACTGAGGCGTTTAAGCCTTTTGCGGAACCGATGTGTTCCTTTCGGGCTTCCTGCAGTTTAGCAGACGCCGAGATATGGCGAAAGAAAAAAGCCTTCTCTTGCTGTCCTACCGGCGAAACTGTGAATGCGCGTGGCAACCCTCTGCTGTGAAACGGGCGAGCAGGCGGAATAATCGCATCTTAGGCCTTATACTGCAAACAAGCCGCATGGGTGCGCATCAGGAAAGCCTGGCTGGAATTCTCCACTTGCACGAGAAAGTGTTTGGATCTATCAGCCTTCAGAAGACGGAGCTGCTGGGCGACCAGCTGCTGCAGCAAGGCGATGCGGTAAAGGCCCGAAGCTAGCTTATGCCACTTGTTTCTTGTCTCCTCCGGGCTTCAGAGCTCCGATCCTACTTACTTGCGGCCGGATCGATTGTGAGTTTTACGGCGGCCTGCGGGTAGTTACTCCGGCTAGTTCTCCCCCCCTTTTCTTGCTTTTTGAAGTCTAAACCCCCACTCCCTCCTTCGCCTCCATCAAAGCCCTTACTTAGTTCCCCAATCCTGCATTTCCAAATTCAAAACGCGAAGCCTCCACCCCACAGCCCTAATACAGGGCCCTAGTCAGCTGGGCGGGTGGGAGAAAATACAGGGCCCCAAGTAATGGATGCTTATGTGTTTTAGGATTTGTTCGTTTTTTGTTGTCCTTTGTGTTCTGGTTGTTTGTGTTGTTCTGCTTCTCTTCTGTGATCGTGTTGCTGTTCCTCGGCTGTTCTTTCTGCCTGTGTTTGCTTGTCGGTTTCTAGTTGTTCTTGCTTTTGCTCTTCCTGCTTTTCTGCTTCTTTGCTTTTCCGCTTCTTGGGTCGCCTAATGAGGGGGCGGGACTAAGAAGTGTGATCAACCGGGATCGCCAAATGAGGGGACGTGTCTAGGATATGTGATCAATCTGGATCGAAAGGAGGGGGCGTGCGTAAGATATGTGATGAAAACCTGGGGTCGCCAAAGGAAGTGGCGAGTGTAAGCTATGTGATCAACCGAAATCGCCAAATAAAGCGGCATTATCAGGATGTGTGTTGAATCAGGCTCGCCAAAGGGGTCAAGAAAGGTGATCAGCCTGGATCGTCGAATGAGGGCCGTGTTTAGGATATGTCATGACTTGGGATCGCCAAACGAGTTCATAAATATGATCAACCGGATCAACACATGAAGCGGCGTGTTTAAGACATGTGAGAGGAGTGTCTAGGTGTTTATGATATGTGATCAACCTGGATCGGCAAATGAGGGGTCGTTTTCAAGATGTGTGAAGAACAGGAATTGCCAAAGTCGATCTGGATCGCCAAATGAGGGGCGTGTTCAAGAT